ATCCGTTCCGATCCGGGTTTTGTCAATCCGTTCCGATCCGGGTTTTGTCAATCCGTTCCGATCCGGGTTTTGTCAATCCGTTCCGCTCCGTTCCGCTCCGTTCCGATCCGGGTTTTGTTGATGCCGGTCTATATGATACTTCCAGGTAAGGCTACTATCTATTATTACCCCCAGATATTTGATAAATTCTTTGCACTTGTTTGTGTTGTTGTTAAACAGTTTTATGCTGACTTGGAAATTAAGCTTTTTTTGATATGGACGAAAAATAACATAATTCGATTTTTTTAAATTGAGTGTTAATTTATTCGCATTTAGCCATTCGCAAACTGCCATTAATTCTTTGTTGACAACTGTTTCAAGAGATTTTAGATTTTTATTAGCTTATAATAAATTTGTGTTGTCGGCAAACAGATAGAATTTGAATACTTTGGATGATCTATGAATATCATTTATATAAATTAGGAAAAGTAAAGGCCCAAGGACTGAGCCTTGCGGAACACCAAATCTTATGATTTCTTTCGATATATATTTTCTTCAATTTGGATTTTTTGCATTCGTTCTGTTAAATATGACTTAAACCAGTTATTAACACTGCGAATGCCGTAATGCTGTAATTTGTGTAAAAGTATAGTGTGGTCAACAGTATCAAATGCTTTCTTTAGGTCAAATATACCACACAAGAACATTTTTTTGTCCATGTTATTTTGTATATTATTAACGATGTCAATAATGGCATGTTGTGTGCAATGTTTTTCTCGAAAACCATATTGTTTTTCATAAAAGGTCTCGTTTTTATAAAAAAATAGTTTAAGTCGTTTATACATTAATTTTTCAAACAATTGGTTAAAATTAGAGAGCAGCGAGATTGGTCTATAGTTTCCTGGGTCAGTTTCATCATCAGTTTTATAAATTGGAACAACTTTGGCACACTTTAGTTTTGAAGGAAATACTCCTGTTTGAATTGAAAGATTTATTATTTCAGCTAGTGGCCAAGATATTTGCTGTTTTATACATTTTAGGATGCATATAGGACACAAGTAAAGTCCATCTGCTTTATTACAATTAAGGCATTGAAGTAATTTCAAATTCAACCTCAGAGGGGATAACAGGGTTATAAAAGAACGAATTGAGATAATTGTGGCTATTAAGGTATTGACTAATGTGTGTGTTTGAATTGGGTAATTTGGAAGCTAATTTCTTACCAATGGTTGAAAAATGTTTGTTTAGAATGTCAGGAATATCTTTGGGATTCTTGATCATTTCCTTTTTAATTGGGCATCTTAATGCTGTGATCGTTTATGGTTCTTTCTCTTGCGATTTATCAGGTTGTTTATACCCTCCCATGTTTTTCTCATGTTTGTAAGGTTGTTATTGAAATATTCGTGGAAATAAGATTTTTTGCTAATTCGTGTTAAGATTGTTATTTTGTTTCGATATAATTTGTACTTGTTTCTGTCCGCAGAATGATATAATTTGTTTTTTATTTTAATTGACCTTCTTATTCCTTTAGTTATCCATGGTTTAGAAAATTGCTTTATACGGGTGCACCGGATTTGGAATTTTCAAATCCGGCCGGAACCGGATTTACTGGATTTGGACAAAAATTCCGGCCGGAATTCCGGCCGGATTTAGGAAAACCCGGTAATGGGGACAATTGGGGATAAATCAGTATTCAAAATGACGGTTTATGTTTTTTACTATTTTTAGTTAGTGTCAGTTTAGATTTTTGATTGTGTTTAAACCTTTTTTGAACATCTTTTTGTTAATAACTTAATATTTTATAATAATATATGTGTTTTTTAAACTTTAAAGCTGCCAAATTGATGGTTTATCCCATTCTTGGAGAATTTTTTAAGGTGAAAACAGAAATTTAAATCCGGCCGGATTTTCTCCAAATCCGGCCGGAAGCCGGATGCCGGAAAATTCGTTAAATCCGGCCAGAATTCCGGCCGGATTTGAAATCCGGTGCACCCCTATTGCTTTATCATTCATTTAGAAATAATTAAGTTTTAATGGGGAATATTTGTTTGTTAAATTATTTACTTTATCGTAAAAAGTGGTGAATAGTTTATCTATATTGTCCCTTTTATTTGCGATTATAGAATTCCAATTAATTTGTGCTAAATCATCATTAAAACCAGACTCTGAGAAATGAGAGAAATCTCGAATTTTTTTCTGATGTTTGTTTGCCATTTGTCTGGTTGATTGATGCAGAACTGTGAAAACGATTGAATTTTCAATTTTATTGACAAAAATATTCTCAATTAAAGTTGCTGAATTGTTATACACCCTAGTGGGCTTGTCAATTGTTAGTGTTAAAGCATAACTTTGAAGAGTAAATAAGAAATTTTGAGTATATTGGCAAGTTTGAGCCTTGAGGAGGTTTATGTTGAAATCACCCATTACATATATAGGTTTGTTTGAGCCTGAAGCGCTAAATTTATCTAGAGTGTCCTCAAAATATGCTTGAAAGCTTTCTGGAGAATTATGTTGCCTATACACTACTCCACATATAATGTTTGGTTTGTTCTTAAAGTGAATTTCAACCCAAAGCTTTATTAGGAATTTTTTCTAAAACTGTGTAACTCAAGTCATCTCTAGTACATTCCCGCACCACCCGATGCCAGCGGTGTTGGAACAAATTCAAATTTATAGTTAACTATCTCAGGATTAAAGTCAGTGAATTTATCATCCCTGATTTTAGTTTCAGTAATTCCTATTACACTAAAGTTGAAATCAAGTTCTTGTAATAAATGGGTTTGAAAATTTTCCAAGTTGCATTCCAAGCTCCTCACATTGTTATGTAACATCTAGAAACTGGTATCTGTGATACGATTTGACTGTGATTTCTTAAGACTGCTGAATTTATGGGGTGAATAATATTGAGATCATAAAATCTGTTGATTTAAATTTACATCGGGATTCACATCAGAGGCTGTGTTCAAATTAAATAAGCCCAGGTCACACATACTAGGATAATTATCAAGGTCTTTTATAGTGGGGAGGTTTGTAGTTAAGCTATTGTTGGGGCTAAAGACTTGACTTAGGACTAAATTATTAACATTATAAAATGGCAGTTCACGTAATAGTGACATAGACAGTTGGATATTTGTTTTATCATTCCCATGCATCTTTAGTTAGGCTATTGTAGTATCTTTGAAAGACAAACATTTCATTTTACTTAGCTTGAAGGCACATGTTTGAATTCTGCAATCTCAGAAGGTAGTGAAGTTCATTTATTCTAATAGCTTGAGAATTAGCATCCTTTCTTAGGTAAACAGCTGAGTTCTTCGTGCAGCAGTATTGATAGCCGTTCTTTGCTTTAAATCCCTTTGCTTCAAATAAAATTTGTTGGTTCTTTGGAGTTAGATGATCGAAAATTCTGACTGACGGATTGACTTTATTGGTTTCCCTACGTTGCCTCATAACAATCTCTTTGGAATTGCACCGGACAAATTTGCAAATTATCGGGCTTGGTCTGCCATCTTCTTTTCTGCTGCGAACGCGATGTGCAATATCGATATCATTAAAATTAACGTCGACTCCAAGTGATTGGAAGAGGTTTACACACAGAGAACTGGTTTGATTTGCCGATTCCCTTTCGTCTTGTTGAGGAAGACCTGCTATTGTAATATTATACTGATAACTATACTGTTGTATCTTGTCGAGCGCATCGCCGACATCATTTACTTTCATGGCTATTTCTGTTAATCTTGAGTTCAACTTTTTAAATTCATTCTTGGCTTCAATTTGAAAAGCATTTAGAGTATCGTACTCATTGCTTACGAAGTCAAGGCTGGTCTGGAAGCTATGCATTTGGGCTTTAGTTTCTTTGCTTGCACCGTCTTGCTTCAGTGATTCTTTACTTTCGATCATGATTTGCAGTTTGCTGAAATCTTTCTGTAGTGATTCAATCTGTCGCTTCAAAGCATCATTTTCCTTCTTTATAGATGTTATCGTTTCAGGCATGTTGATATTTGACAAGGAGGCTCTTAAGATGAGCTTTAGTTGATCAGAAATATGGAGCTCATAAATGCATGGCCGTCACACATGGCAGGTCATGGACTTATCCTTCTCTTTATCCAACATGCTTGCAGTGTGGCCACTATGACGAGTCCCTTCTGAATTTACGCTTCTTTGAGAAATCTTTTCAGAAATTTGGTTAATCTTGCTTTGTATACAGTTTATCAATCTCTAGACGAAGCTCTGCATTTTCCTTTTTAAGCGCCATTGTTGCTATAATATTGATTTAATATTGATTTGATGCCTCAATTCCAAAAATCTGAATTGAAGCGAAACTTTAAATGCACAATTGACGCGTGCCTACTCGATTGGATTCGCCAAAATATGAGTCGTACTACACACTGCATCACGGTGTGTAAACGTACCTTAATTAAGTAAACTAAGTATAATTATATATGTTTTTATTGAAAATTTTCCACACTGATTGGTTGCCATTGAGGTGATTATAACATGATAATCACCAAGCGATTTTTGAAATATTATGGCGGCCAAAGCCGTTTTGACTATTAAATGACGAAGAAATGTGTATTTTTATTTTTTTCCCAAATAATCACCTATGAAATTATACTAAAACAATTACTCGGCAGTCGAATTAATACTACTCCTCCACTAAATTCTGGTACTAGTCTCACAGTGCTCACATACACCACTGTCTGACCTTTGCCCATCGACTGTATGGTCTTCAACCAGCACCAATAATCCTAGCCAAAAAGATGAAGTTCAAACTAGAGACGATGACCCGTTTTCCAGCCCTGCAAACATGCCGCCAACTAATATGCCAATTCACTCAACCGACAGCCACAAGTCATCCAACCAAACAGCACGGTGAGAGTTACAATTGCTAAGAGAAGAAACAAACCCAGATTGGCCAGATGAAACACCGGTACCACTTTCTTCAGAAATTAGCTGCGCCATACGCCTCTCATATGATTGTGACGATGAATGGGCGAGTAAATGTGACGAATGGCTAAATAACTCTATCAAGCAGAAAGCAGATGCTATCCCTCCCAAATGCAGCGAGTGTCCCATATTACAAGATGAAAATGCGAGGTTGAAAGGGACTATTGCACGTTTAAGAAAAACAAAAGTTTGCAGGTACAACTTCTCACTATAGTATTGTCTATTCGGTACAATATAGTGTCATTTATATACGAGCGAAAATAAGCTGTGGCCAAAATAAGCCGCGGCTCTTATAAGCAGTCAATTTGCAATATGAAATTTAGGCCTAGCTTTCAACCCAATTGCTTATTTCAGTAGCCGTTGTTTGCGAACAAATCAGTGACTGTTTATACGAGTCGTTCGCGACTTATTTAAGCCGAGGCTTATTTTCGCTCCTATAAATGGCCCTAATGAACACTATGTTAAAGAACCAAGTTATATAATAATTTATATAATTATAGATATAGTTATATAATGATATAAATATAATTATATCACTATATCTATATAAGCATGGTTAATAGACCTATATAAGTCATATAATTGTATAGATAGTATAGATAATTACAGTGCATGTTCATTCAGAATGAAAGCCGTGTTTTGGCTCATCACAGCTAGTGAGTGGGCCCCTGCAGATGTATATACTTATACGTTATTAATAATATTTTTTAGGTCTGCTTAATGTTCCACCGGCAGCTGTAATATACCTTGAATCATTGGCAACATACCTTCGTGATGCAAGCTCTGATGAGGACTGCAATGACGAAGTAATGGAGATCAGTTTTCCACATATGGCTATGAACAAGACACAGAAAACGCCACCAACACCTGTATGTATAAAAATCATATTATGCAAAAATGTTCATTCCTAGATAATCTTTGCGTGAAATATCTGGATTACAGTTTTTCCTTTCTTTAATAACCAATGTTCCATTGTGTTTTGTTTCAAAATTTATGGCCTACAGCGAAGACTAATGTTACAAACACCAGTGCTGTCAATATACATGTCGATACACCATATGTCGATACACCATCATCTTCGCCTTTGTCGCACTTCGAAGGAGGTAATGGCAAGCAAGAATTATGCCCAGGATCTGGTGTTTTTATCCCCACGATCAAGCTTCGCAAAAGCCATCACAAATCAGGATCAGATTTAAAGGTGCTGTTCCATTGCTTGATGGAACACTTCAGACTGGCGATGTCTGTTGCTTTTGGAAATCAGGTGCTTCCAATGGGTAAACAAGTACTAGATCCGAATATCGTTTCAACAATCAAAGGTACTTCTAATTTAAACATGTTTAGTATAAATTAATATAATTGATATTAATACAAAGAACGCGCACCATAAAATACAGCTACAGTTCAGTAAAGATTTGAGTAATATTTCGATTTTCGGAATTTTCCTTTGTTAAATTATATTATTGTACCAAATAAATGTAACGATTTATGTCCTCTTTAATTACTCAAGTCGGGAGTGCACTGTCAATTTTGGAATAGCTGGATGTTACCAAGATTGCACGAAATGCATCCTAATCGATACGTATACTTAATAGTAGTCTTTTATTTACAGGATACTTGCTGGCTTCACCAAAAATATTCCATGTGGCCCGTTTGGAAAGCGTAAAGTTACACTTTTTTGTGAACATTTTGTTTATGTGTGCACAAACAAAGTTGAAAAAGAAGTTGATGGCGTTCCCAACAAAGACAAAGTAGGATTGAAACAACTGACACCAGTTTGTAATAAACGTTAATCAGGTTATATAATATTATACTACTGTAGCTATTCCTATGGATTACAGGCTGATGAATGATGATAAACGTAACATTGTCAGTTTTGTATCTTGTTTTATACACAGTATATTAAAACTGTGCGAATTTTTATAAATAATTTTTTAATAAATTGATTTTGTTCGGCACTTATTAAAAGTGTATATGCTGTAAAGAGCGTGCACTAACGTGCGCTTCGACAAGAAATATGTTATTAATAGATTCTAAGATCATTCTAGAGCTTCAAGACCTTTTAAGACTTTGCAAGACCTTTCAAGACCTTTCAAGACCTCTTTAGACTTTTCTGGATTGATTCCAAAAGGTCTCGAAAATGTCTTTTGACCTGTCAAAATAACATCACCACGGAGACTTTTTCAACACATTTACCTTAGGCAATCTCAAGGTCTTTTCAAGACCTTTTAAATACAATTTTCAAGATCTTTTCAAGACCTTTTTAGGACTTTAAAAGGTCTAGCGTTTTCTTACGGGAACGCATCCAAAAGTTAAAATCAGGAAAACATCATCTATAGTTATATTAACTTGAAAACGCTTTGCTATTTGCTTATTTTGCGAAAGTTTTCTTTCACGTTGCAACGTATTGGTTCATTTTGGAAAGGTTTTCTTTAATGCATTGTTTTATTTACCGATTTCGTAAATGTTTTCTTTAAGACATTACTCTATTGGTCAAGCTTGGAAATGCTTTCTCGAGCCGAAGGCGAGAGTTTGTATATCCGATACAACACAGACGCGAATGTTGTAAACAACTTAAAAAATGACTCATCTTATGAGTTCATTGGCGAAGTCATTTTAAAAATAAACGTTGTCTAAGCTGAGAAAATCAAAGTTAAAGTTTATGTAAATCAACATCAATCTGTATCACATATATGACACGCTTTTTCTTTGTGTTTTCTTCATGAATTATTAATGAGTTTTTTAATGGTATATACAAAATGTATGGTGAATATATATATGTACAATTTTACATAAAAGTTATTTACACATATTTTGCGTTTCTCTCAATCTCTCCGTAGTTTGACCAACTATGGCAATTGTGCAAACACCACATATATATTTAATACTAGAGCCAAAGCATTCGATCCGGCGTAAGATCAATACTAATGTCAGTGAAATTTAGTCTAATAATTCATGGACGCTTGTCCGGGCTGACATTTCAGTGCTTATCAGATTAAATGTTCCTCGCTCATGGGTCCACACACTTCGAAGTTGTCAACTTGTAGCAAGTATATATATATATATTGATGAGAAAACCCCTTCATGTGATGTTGTCAACATAAAGTTGACTCAAGCGTGATTTGAAGCGCACAAGATATTCTCACGACTTATCAACTCAAACGTTATTCTTACAATGGCAACAGTGCTTCAACATGATTCAATATATTCATGCAAAAAAAAGTCGCGAGAATATCTTATGCACTTATATAGACTTGTACTCTCCCCAGTTGACTTGATACCTCCTCAATGACAATGGGTAGAGGTCAGCCCGGTTTGCTGAATATGCGACTTCAAATCTCATTACTATACTATATTGTGTTATGTTTCCCTGATAATGGCTATGAAATGTAGCAAGTCCATATGAAAGCATTTACTTGGGTTTTACCAGTCAATAGCTTAAAGTGAAATGCGTGCGTACTCATAAGCCTTATATTTCTTTTCCTTTGTGTGCCTATAAACCGTGTCGAACACTTCAGTTTCCTATATGAAACATTCATAAAACATGTCTGGAACCGATCGTGATAATATGTCGAGCATGATAATACACTTTATTTAACCACAATGGGCGCCACAAACATATATGAACGGATTGAACGAGTTTCGTGACTGGTTGATCATAACAATAAAACACCATTACAGTTGATTTCACAAAACTTTGGCCACGCCATTTGCGAGATTGGTTGGGAATTTGGGAACTATAAACACAAGGTCATCAAGTTGATTGGAAACCGGCCGATCAAATTCGGAAGTTTCGCATCAAATTATCGAAATTGGTTATGAAATTCTGAACCAAGTTCACAAGCAAGTTCACAAATTGCAAACGATTTTGACGGTAAATTTTAAAAACTAAACTTATTGCATTAAACTTATTCATTTAATAATAAATAATATAATAATAATAATTTCAAGTTTAATAGAATAATAAGTTTAATAGAATAAGTTTAGTTTTTAAAATTTACAGTCAAAATCGTTTGCAATTTGCGCACTTGGTTCGGAATTTCATAACGAATTTCGACAATTTGATGCGTGTAAAATGATGATGCGCATTTCATTTAAACCATGTTAGGTGTTTTGTTCCGATTAGCTTTAGAAATACAAAGGGCGTGGGATGTTCATCATTCAGCATTGAGTAGTGTTTTGGCACATTTCAACAATTTGATGCGTTTAAAATGATGATGCGCATTTTATTTAAACCGTGTTAGGTCTTTTGTTCCGATTAGCTTTAGAAATACAAAGGGCATGGGATGTTCATCATTCAGCATTGAGTAGTGTTTTGGCAAATTTATATTTCATGATCTGTCACAGAATTGATAAATACAAACACAAAACGTTAATGGTTATGCATCACTTAGCAGGTAGAAAGTAACATAGTAATTATATTGCATAAAATAAAATACTTGAAGCATGCTTCAAGACAATCTCTAAAGGCCATGCTACACACGGAAATCTTTCGTGCCCCTTGCAATACAATAGACTGTACTGTTTATTCTTTGCTGTTGCCCATGTGGATATTCTTTAATGTTTTGTGCACAGTAGGGTTAGGAGGGATAAGGAAAGAAACATATTCATGCAAGAAACATGGGGATATAACCTTCATGTGCACATGTCATGCCAAAACAGGCAAACATGGAAACGAGGCCATTAGAGCTAAAGTCATGCAATGAGCAATATTACCAGGATTTTTGGCATCTACCCTTCATACTGAAGTAATAGTTGAAGACTTTTGTAGATGGAAATTTCGAGTGTAAATTTTACACATTTATTTAGACCTAATCAGGAGCAGTTGCGAAAAATGCAACTATAGGCCCTCTGGCAGGCATCGAGCCTGCGCAATTGAACTTACGCATGCAATCGAACCTATATACATGAATTTGCGCTTAGAGTTCGAAAACTGGCCTCTGTATTGATCATCGCATGCAATCATGAAAATTGCATTGTGGTTAATTTTAATTAAACAACTGCGAACTTGGTTCGGAATTTCATAACAAATTTCGACAATTTGATGCGAAACTTTCAAATTTGATTGGCCGGGGTTTCCAATCAACTTGATGATCTCGTGTTTATAGTTCCCAAATTCCCAACCAACCTCGCAATTGGCATGCCCAAAGTTTCATGAAATCAACTGTAACTATAAATGATAGACCTAATCAGGAGCAGGAGTTTATTGTAGAAGGGTTTTGTCAATGGAAATTTCGAGTGTGAATTTTATTAATTTATTAGACCTAACCCAACCTGATACTCAGAGTTTTCACTTCCACTACCCCCCAAAACCCGCTGCAACGAAAACCCTGACACAGGCTGGTCATGTGCCCCCAGATTTTAGGTGCTAAATTATGCGACACAGGGAGGGTAGGTCATTATTAACGGTAAACCAAAAAAAACTGCATAAAAATGTATATTAGCTAACCATTAGTTGCGGTGGTTCGCAAGTGTTCATTATAAAGCGTGTATATATCGTGTACACTCAATTACGAGCTCAATTAAATCTTGACTGTAAACTGAAACAGTGAAATTGACAAAACTGCAAAACCGCTAGTAGTAGCACATATAAAAGTCCAAAAACGTTCAATACACCTACACATTCTAAAATACTGCATTCGGACATTTTTACTTTCAGTCTTGACAGCCTTCTCTATCCTTCTATAACTATGATTTGTGTTTTGTGACAAGCATTATTTAGAATCCCAAGACTAAGAGGTGTAGCAATTTGACATACTGTGCAGCTACATAAACACGGGGAAGTGCAGTACTTGAGCCGCATAAAGGCAGCTATAGTTTTATTATATCTTTAGTTCAACGATGATACAACCAAACCATATACAGTATCGTTCATACTATTTAGACTACTTCATATAAAATGTGCATCTTGTGTTGGCTCGGGTTAGCTTTGTGCACTGTTAGCCCAAGATAAAGTCATGCAAAGACAAATAATTATATCAAAATTTGTCCATTCGGCTAACGCTTCTTTATAACTTATAAAATTTCACATGCCTGTACTGTAGTTATATTTGTTCAATTAGTAAACGAAAGCATAAAATAGAACAAAGCATTACTGCCATTACACTATTTTATTGACGTTAAACGATGTTCTGTTTTTGACGATATACAAAATTCTCAGATAATTCTACAAAGTATATGCAATGCTTTTCAATGTTTAGCCATACCTATAAACTAGAAGTTACTATCGCAAGTGAAGTGCTGCCGCTGTATACACCACGTGATATATATGAAATACTTCCATATTTGTAGATCTTGGAGCGTGGGGGATTCTGGGTAATATTACCCGAAGTGATATTCCGAGGGCGAACCCAGAGACTGGGATTAGGATTATATTCGTGTATTTTTGGAGATGAACGAAATATATATGTGCAAAATATATTTAGTTAATCATTCATTCCGAGGAAATTTTATAGCTAGATTACGAAATAGGAAGTTTGTTGGTAGAATTTATGATGTGAACTGTGTCTTTGAAGTTGAAAATTTGTACTTGTTAAGCGGTTGTTCTAGCAATATCAGTGTCGGCTCGGACAAGGAGGGGACTAATGGGACTCACAATTTGAGTAAAAAGAAGACAAGACTTTGAGACAGTAATATTTGGAATATATTTTAGAATAAAGTCAATGAATTTGAATTTGAAATATGAATTTGAATATGAAATAAGTTCGAAATATTACTGTCTCAAAGTTACTGGAATCAATTAGACTGTGCTTTTGCAGGCTCGCAAATACGCTTAAAACGCAAAAAAGAAAATTGGTCAAAATATTTTAATAAGAAAGATCAAGAAATATCAACATTAAGTGACTTAATTAGCTAACGAAGTACTATGGTTTAAATCCATAATTTTCAAATATACTTTTGCACAACAGTTAAACGTACATAAATATAAAATATGGCATATGCTATAGTATGGTTCAAAGTTCCAAATAGTAACAAAATTTTAATCTTGTGCATAAAATTACAAAAATCTCTGGTTGTGAGCCCTACTACATAAATGGTATAGACATAAAAACAACATTTTCCTATAGTGAAAACATGTTTTTAAGGTGTATGGAAATGTATGGTAGTAACAAATTGGAAGGAAACCAGGAAGGAAATTTCAATATTTTGGGAAGGAAAATGGAAATTTTGTTTTGAGGAAATTGAGGAAGGATAGAAAAGGGATGTTTTTTTCAGGAAAGTGGAAGCACTATATCAGCCCAGTTTACATATTCTTCAAAAAAGTATGTAGTTATATTGGAGTTTTGCATTCTGTAAACAGAAATGTTACCATACATAAAGATATAAAAGTATATATAAACCAACAGAAAAGTATATAAACCAAAATCAATATAAACCAAAGTCAGAATTCGTCAGAGACAGGCATTTGAGCTTGGTAATTTAAAGTTACAGTTCTCCTTCTGCCAATTCAATACTGGTGACTTGGTAATCTATGGTGTCGTATATAATGTTGAAAACCATGAAGCTGGAGTTGCACATTATGGAGAGCGCTAATTCCGCGTCTGTAACAGTTGCCAAATCAGCTGAGGCATGTGTGAGCTGTAGGAACTTCTCCAAGATGTCGTGTGGTAGGGTCAAGCGGACATTGCGTGGGGAAGTTGTCAGGTTTGATCAGTAATTTGACTACCCAGTTGATTTCACATGATTCTGGAAGTTGTGATAACTCACACGACTGGCAAACACCCATATCACCTGAAATTGTGATGGCTCATCGATGGCAGGAGACACAACAGAGTGATTTGGTGGTTTTTTGCACGCCAAGGATGGTTCCTGAAACTGTTGCGGAAGTGCTGACATCTTGTTCAGCAGGAACAAGAGGGGTAGTAAATGGTAGGCATTGTGTAGCTGTGAATTCATCTGAACAAGGTGTGTTCAAATAGCGCTCATATTTTGTAGCTTTGATTCGGAGGTTTTTGAATACGTATGTTTCATCGACAACTAACGAGTCAGTGTGTTGTCCCCAAAGGACTAATTTCACACATGCAGTGGTATCCCTAATGATAACATCTTGCTTTTTTACTTTTCCACCAAACTTTAGTTTGCACTAGTTTGACACCAGCGATGCTTGAGACATGACCTTTCACTGAGATCAATTGCTCGGCTGTCAGGTTATGGATGGCTGACAAATTAACAGGTTCACCATTGAAGGAAGCTGCCAACTCTTCCGAGAAGGGAAAGGTGATTACGTTTTCAGGTAATGGAGTGACAGAAGTAAATTTGGTTAGAATGAGCTCGTTAGATTGATCTGGTTGTTTAAAATTTTGAATCTTAACTGGAGTTTTGGCAACTGCAAAGGCATGGATTTCTTTGCGTTTTTCAGGGGCATAGCAGACAGCTCTTTTAGACATGTCACTGGACTGGATAATGATGTTAAAGTATCGCCTGTTCGAGTGGCGTGCATTCTGTACCATTGACACATTGTGTATATAACACTCAAGATCTGTTTTTATAGGTTCACCTGTAGAATTACAATGGAAAAACGAATAAGGTGATGTGATCTTGCATGCACATTATTCGATATTATTGACCAAAACTTTATCAGTTTAATAAATCTTCTCGAATAAAATGGAAGGAGACACAAAGCTATGCAATAAATGAGAAATGAATTAAGCTTGCAGACTGTCAGGATAAACCCTGCTGCAACACGGAAAGGTGAGACACAAAATCTCCAAGGTGTCTGGAGAATCTTTAGTGACCAGATTTTCCCATTTTTTGACAATTTCCAGACAAAGGAGTAATGGTGAAAATTTGACAGCAGTGTAGCAATAGTAGGCAGTCCAATCTCAGGGTGTAGCAGGGTGGTCAGGTTTGATGGTTTTTATATTGGCCTTACATTATAAACAAAATAAACAAAATATATTGTATACTGTATCAGTATGGCACAGGAAAGGTTTAAGAATCGCTCTGAAAGAGGCGAAGGAGTAATGATAAGAGTGCTGAGGTATTATAATAAAATGCTAACTATTTACTGGTAGTTGTAAAATGTTGTTATTTGACAAATTGAACAATGTTTTCTGAATAGTTTTGTTTACAAATTAGGCCATCAAAAAACCTGCACCTCCCGATCACCCTGCTACACCCTGAGATTGGCCGTCTGTGAACGTAGTCGTGAAATTTGCAGGTTTCGCAGGCTGGAGAGTTTCATATATAGCAAACTGCATGATTTTGGTATCTCAATTGTGAAGGAGAACATTGAAAGATAAACTTTTGCCAAAAATGACTAAACTATCAAAAATTTTACCAAAAGTTAAATATTTTATTCAGACCGAGGTCAACTTATCTGCTGAAGCAAAGCTACGCCTAAGGCAAATAACAATGACCAAGATGTGAATTATTCTTGATATCATGTTAAAGCTGAATAGGCAATTTCCATCATAGAAAATGGAAAAACTTGCATATATAAAACATAAACATTTGAAAAGTAATTTTCCATTATATGGCTCACTTACTCTAAAGAAAGTTTTATAAGATATTTGATGTAAATCTAAGCAACTCAAATTGAAAAAAATATCAAAAATGGCAAAAATGACAAGCAAAACTCTTAAACTCAATATTTTGATGCACACGAGTGGATAACAAGGGATTGGGAACAGCAAATAAGGGGTAATAACGGAATGTGAGGGATAGTTTGGTGCAAATGAAAATAAATGACCTTGTTGTGAATTTTGCCGATTTCGCGTATTTTTGGTGTTTTTGCCATTGATTCACTGGCGGAGAAGGATAAATCTAGAGTATAAATGCTCAGCTAACAAATCTAATTTAATAATTGTTGACAATTAATTAGTGCATCACACCTTGAAACTCCTGTTGTTGATTCATACCAGTATCTAGAGAGATTGACAGAAAATAGGCATTCAATATAAATGTTGTCAAATTACTATTCAGTTTAAACTACTGTAGTACCCGAGCCTAGCTGTGACGCAGTTTAAACTACTGTAGCACCCAAGCCTAGCTGTTACGCAGTTTAAATTACTGTAGCACCAGAGCCTAGCAGTGACGTAGTTTAAATTACTGTGGCACCCGAGCCTGTGACGCAGTTTAAATTACTGTAGCATTAGCTGTGACGCAGACGTTTAACAGGATTCCGTACATGTCTGGAAAAGTCAAATTCAAGGACTTTTTAAAAACATTCAAGGCCATGTACGAGTAAATTCAAGGACTAAATACTGAAGAGAAGGATTAGAAATCAGTAAAATCTCACGTTGAATTGTTCAAAACGCAACTTTAGTGAGTTTCACACAGCCTTGTCAGACATGAACATGCAAAATCAATTCAACAAAATGTCCGTTTTGAATGTCAAACAATTTCAGAAAATATGCATAAACTAAAGCAAAGACTTTCAAGTACTTCTTTACAAATTTAAGGACATCCAATGCCTTGAATTTTTGTTTTCAAATATATTAAAGGGCATCGAGTTTTGTATGAACACTGGTTTAAATTACTGTAGCACCTGAGCGTAGCTGTGATGCAGTTTAACTCATTCTCTAGCAATTTCGAGTGGTGTTGTTTCAAACGCCAGGTCAATTTGATTACACAACATATAAATTCCTAATGCCCCCTACACCTACTAAAACTCCCACCCTATACTTACTACCCAAAATTCATAAAGCTGGCAACCCGGGTAGACCTATCATCTCTGGGTGTGATGGACCCACTGTTAGATTATCGAAATATGCAGACCACTTCCTCAAACCCTTAGTTAGCCATATCCCATCATTTGTTAAAGATTCAACGGATTTCCTTAGACGTATATTTAAACTTAACCATAATCTTCCCACTGACATTATTCTTCTTACAATAGATGTTAGATCTCTGTACACTAACATCCCGCATGATGAAGGCATTGACGCATCAATCAAATACCTTCAAAGATTTAATAGCGAGGCAAACACAGACCTTCTAAAGGAAGTATTAACCCTTGTACTTCATAACAATTATTTTGAATTCGATAAAAAATACTATCTTCAGACCCAAGGTACTGCTATGGGTTCTCCAATGGCGCCCTCATATGCCAATCCTTTCATGGGTCAATTAGAACACAACATGCTAAGGGATGCCCCTGGTGGATTGATTCCACTTGAGTGGATAAGATTCATCGATGACATCTTTGCAGTATGGACACTTGGAATTGATAAATTAAAGGAGTTCCTACATTATATTAACAACTTCCATCCCACTATTAAATTCGAATTTGAGTACTCCCATGAAAAAGTCCATTTTCTTGATACTAGTATTTATATTAACAACCTTAACCAACTGGAGTCCGACCTTTTTATTAAACCAACAGACAAAGCTCTACTTTTACATAATGGGTCCTTTCACCCCAACAATTGCAAAACTAGCATCATATATAGTCAAGCCCTTAGATACGTACGATTAATTACTAACCGTAACAGATTAAGTGAACACCTTCAGGACCTACGTGTTAATCTAATTACTAGGGGATATACTAACAATGTAATTGATAATGCCTTTAATAAAGCTCTGCAATATACTCAGTCAAATCTACTAATTGGGGAGAATGATAATAATAATATTCGCATTGATGGTAATGCTACTAACCAGAGCCGAAATAATGAACCTAATAGCAATAAACCTATACTAACGTTCTCTGTGCCCTATAACACTAATACCACTCATATAGGATCTATCTTGCGTAAACACTGGCATCTCATTGATAAAGACCCAACACTCAAGCTTCTATGGCCAGAACCCCCTTTGGTTTCCTACAAACGCAACCATAATATTAAGGACCGCATAGTGCACTCTAAGCTATCAAATAATTAGCACTAATGAAATTAAACGCCATACTAACACCACTATGACAGCGGGTTCGATATGGTGAGACACAGATTTTGGAGTTTCGTTATTGGTCGTGGAAATACTGGATAATTTGGTCATATTAAAGCAATAGAAACACCGAGTTTTGAAAACCATATTTACAACAACTTACAATACCAGCTGTTGATATCTTACCATCAAGCAGACATTGTTGTCCACACACTATAAAGAATTAATCGTCCTCATTGGCACTTGAAAAGGATTAACATTGACGTCAATAGCCAATTTTTCATACCATTACTTGACTGTGGCATTTGAAACCACTCGAATAGACTCGTCATCGCTGCATAGTTGGTCAACCTTTTTAATTACATACAGTTGGACTATTAAAACAGAGCCTGATGTTTTTGGACATGCATGTACCTAATATGTTTTGATGGCTAATAGCATTAGTTACAATTCCTATACCTAATTCAAATCCTCTATGCATGTCAACATGCATTTTATACCTTAGGCGTCATACGCGTCCTATGTAGAATTTTTCAGTTATGACCAGCTATTAAATAATGCACCAACATATTCCCAGTCCCTATTTATTTTCATATAACCATTGGTTCCTTGTACAAGTAACACGAAACATACTTGTCATGTTTTAATAGTATACTTTGTAAATATAATGATGGATAACTTGAGTACTCCACGTGACAAATTAAGACCTACTATAGATAACGATTGGACATATAATATCATTCCATTTATCATCCTTGTTTGGCTTTGTTATATATGTACATATTTTGTTTTTTGGGGGTTAATGTATACTCATAAATCTATAACAATAAACCCTGTAAAGGGGTAATTATTTATCTAATTATTTATTTATTTTATTATTTATCACTAATCACC